CCAGGCCTCGCTCCAGACCCGTGGCGCCCTCACGGGCACACTGAGCTGTTCCCAGGAAAGCGGCGGCGCCCAAGGCACAGCAATGCACTGCAACTTCCCGGCAGCCCCAGGCACATCTCAGTCGCGCTCTGTTGTCTCGTACTGAAAGCAGGCAGCGAGCAGCATGGCAGCCCACGCTGCTCCCCGCTCAGCTCATGTCTGTGAGCCGGGATTACAGCTTCGCCACCAGCAATGCCACCGGCACTGACCCCTCTTTGCCCAGGCTCAACACTGCTCAAAGTGCTTCAGTCAAACTGCCCACATACTGAGGATCTCAAAACAATGTAACTACTCAAGGAAAAAAAAAAAGAATTAACAGCGTTGAAAATAAGCCAAGAGGGCCTTCAGGTTTCTTAAGCATTACACAAGCCCTACAAGCTTAGTGTCACACTCAGATGGGGGCTTTTCACCCCATAAAATGAACTCTGCTTCAAGGTCTAAAGAACAAAGAGGACTCTTATATTAAAATACTTAAATGCAAGATAACACTTGGTTTGTTTCTTCAGACCAACAGCAGAGAGTAAACAAGCTAAACCCTAACCTATAATATAAAAGTACTAGTTAATATAATTTAATTACAGTCAATGTTTTACCAGGTCAAAGCTCCTGAGGTATCAGTAGTTGGTCCATTAACACCAATATTACACAGTATTAAATTACTTCTGTGATGTCCAATGCATTTTTCATTGTTTTCCCCCACATACTAATTAGATTCATGAAATTATGAGACTTGAAAAAAATCATTACAGCAGCAAGAGATACCATTTTCATTCCAAATGCTTCTTCAACAGCATCTTACTGGCATTATCTGTCTCAGCCATAATAACCCGAGGCTGAAACAACTTCCAAGAATCTCCCTCACCAATGCTCCTCATTTAGACTAAATACACAAAAGACTCAGTGAAACTTCAGCCTAAGAAAATAGCAACAGAAGCCACAACATAGCATGAAGATTTGACATGCTTTGGAAAAAAGCTTTGCTGTGCAGCATTCCATAAAATGAAGCTAATTTAAAACATGTCTTTACGCTTAAACTTTCCAGTGGTAAGGCCTATCAAAATAAAATATCACCTAAAATACTTAAGCTTTTTCTTTTGTTTTTCACAGTAGGAAGAGGGCTAAGGGAAATTAAAAGCCTGACTTAGCTTTTACAGCTGCAGATTTTTAACTACCATCTGTGCTGTTTTCCATTTATTTTTCAACAACTACTGGACTGCTTAAAAAAAAAAAGTCCCCACTTTTCATAGTAAAGGCTATGGCATAAGTATTTTTAAATGTATTTCTTAACTCTATAAGCATTTGCTTCCTTTACTAGTCTTTGATAGAAGCAGCAGATCAAATGCCAAGTGCTCCTCAAATTATTTATTCTTGTGGAATATGTCCACAGCTGAAGACTGCAACACAATAGGAACCACTGTTACCACAAGCATTAATGATTATTCCAGGTATAGAAGCTTCAGTTCCTGCATGGCAGAGAGATCACTGCATTTTCCACTCCCACAAGGCTCAGTGATTCCAACCAGTGTAGGACAGAAACTACACATTCTGGAGCAAGTCTCATGAGACATTTAGCTGCTGTTTCAAATACTATACTTGGCATATAATATAATACAACATCTTAAACTATCATAGCTAATCCAGTGATATTAAAAAAAAAATCACATATAAAACAAAGGCCAGAATTGCCCTATACAAGCTATATCCTTACTTCAAAACTATTTTTAGCTCTGCACATTCTTTGATGTAGCTTATTTTTAGAAAAGATGCAGAATGCTGTGAGACCACACTTGCAGATCAAGAGAGGCCTGAATTGCAGACATTTGCCAAATGCACTGGCAGCTCACTTCCAAGCATTCTGTACTTTCTAAGACCTGAGCATACCAGTCACTTTAGTATTCCATGCACTCACTGCCAATTTCCTTCTAAAAGCCATTTGGCACATATTGTAGTCAAATTATCAATAATCTAGAACAATGTGTTTTAAAGCCAGTTCAAGTCAAGGCTCAATTTCACTTTTACAATGAAATTAAATGTTATCTTTATTAATGAATGTAATCTAAACTACAAAGCTATAATGGAGACAGAATGAAATTCTGGGAATACCAGGCAGCATTTCCCAAGTTTAAAAATAAATTTTAAATCCTATCAAACATGTGCATTTCCCCAATGGACACATTTGCAATTACTTTTGTGTCAGGCACATTTGGTTTCTTAACATTCTACTAACAGGAATGCAAAGTCCCTAGTGAGAAGGTGTCTTGGGGTACTCATTATATCCAAGCTTAAAAAAGTCAGGGCAGTTTCTTCTCCCAGAAACACTCATAAACTGCATTTCCAGTAGAAGTTTCCAATAACCCTAAAACATACTAATGGACCCTGGAAACAGTACAAAGGTTACAAGGGTTTGTCTGTAACTACTGCTACTAAAATTCTGCCAAACTCAGCCCTGAACTGAGGAATTTTCCTTATAGGTGCATACAAAATGGACAAATGCAACCATAAATATAATTAAAAAAACTTCTATCTTAATTTAGAGGCTTAGGGAATTACGAGATGGAAAATATATATTCTATTTTTGTTATGTTAATATTCTGTAATTTATCAAGTTAATGCATCACAACTGCCATAAAGAAAAGCACAAATTACAAAGGAACAGCATCATTTCCAAAACTGAGGAGTAGAGAGGCTACACTTCACTTTTGTATTGATTCACTCACTTGTGATCCAGAAAAAAACCCTGTCATTTTAACTTAAAGGGATGCTTCAAATCTGCTTCAGGAAAAGGAAAAGATTTAAGGGGAGGGTAGTAAGGAAGCGATTCAGCAAAATCTGCTACTGTTCCTTTTTACCTGTTCCAGTTTGTTATCTCACTCCCAGAAGCAGCTGCACTTTTTTCTTCATCTGTTGTATTCTGTTCTGTCACAGCAGAGATAGACAACTCTGACAGCTTACATCTCTCCATGATTACCATCTCTATTTCTAAAAAATACCAAAACATACCATCAAAATTTGATATTTTTAACAAAGTTATCACAAGCTCTTCTGTATTTGCTGTTTGGTATTAAAAGCATCTCATCTAGATATAAGAGGTATAACCATCACCTCAGGTTAATGAATAGATGTAGGCAAGTTTTCTTCCCAATAAAGAACTTGGCTTACATTTCTTTAAGGAATGTAACACTACAATAAAAGTATACATATATATAAAGTATGTAAAGAAAATACAGATAGCATTTTAGCAAATAAACAAGCCACAGTAAGCTCCCTTCCCACACAAACCACAGGAAGAAAAGCCATGGGACCTCTTTCTGAAAAAAAGATTTTGAAAAAGCTGGTGAGACTGGGGCATGGGTGGACATCAAGTTTCACTGAGGGTGTAAAGAGGCCTCTACAGCTGCAGCAAACAGGACACCTGGTCCCCAGTGCTTCACACCTACTGACTTTCAGTAGAACAAATCTTGCCTTCCCTTAGGAATTTGGACAAAGATTACAACTAAATGCACCAGTTTAAACAGTAGATTATTTCAGATTTGAAATAATTTCAAATCATGGTGGAGAATACACCATCAGTTATTTGACATCATTTAAGGAAAGCCTTCTCAAAAAGAATGTTTACCTAAATCTAATTCAGTCATGTTTGGACAGGACTGTCAAAGCATAACACTCTTGTTTTCAATTGCTTGCAGACAATCCTGCCACATTTTTCTCAATTTATGTTTAATGTAAGTACTGTCATTGAAACATGCATAAAATACTGCTGATCATCTGCAAAGGTGAAGTGGCTACAGCTCTCCCTTACCACAAAAGGACAAGACACAAAGTTGTCAGGCTTGCTTATCAAGTGCCCACAACCACGACTGTGATAAGGGCCAAGGCCTACAGGCAGATATGAACACACTTTCATAGTTTTGCATCAGATTAGATGTACACGTTCTCATGGCTCAATTTTACATGAGAAAAAAATCCAGCCAAAGCCTTAAACAAATGTCATAGTCCCATGTTCACCTAATGCAGCAAGAGAACACCACAACTAGATCCGTCAGTAAATCCAAAGTACCTAAATTGTAAGCACCATTTTCTTGCTCGAATACTCACCTTCATTTTCAGTGCTTGTTCTTACACCCTTTGAACTTGCTTCTGTCCCTTTACTTTTATCAAGGTCGTCTTGGTTATCTTCAGATCCTCTCTCCTCTTCGTCTTCTTCACCAACATTTTTATAGTTGGGTCTTTTCTGCATCCTCTTCTTCCCCTTCTGCTTGTTAATTTCAAGAGACCTCTCAAGTGTTTCTGTGGGTTTTATGAAGCACCTGATACTTGACTTTGCCTGCAAATTTGAAGTTTACACTGAGTTACAGCACAGCATTTTTAACTACAATTGATAATGAAACTTCAGTTCATATAAAATGTAAATCAGCACACTATCCACAATCTCAAATCCATTTCAGAATACAAAAAATTAATACCAAATCATCAGTAGCACAACTATCTCCAAAGTAACATATCCGAAAGACCTATCATTAAAAAGTAGGCCTTCTTGAGACAAGACCATGCAGAACTACTTATATCATCACTACAAGTTTTAAATTGAAGGGCTGAGACAGATAGTACACATAAAATTCAGACACCTTTTTTAAAAAGGATAAAGGCAGCAAAACCCTACATGTGTGTTGACAGCAGTGTATCAATATGAAACATAACCCTTTTAAAGGTGCAAAGATCTTTTTAAAGCAGCAAGGACAAAATCCAATGCTCCACGCTGTGAGATTTTGGGTTGGTTGGGTTTTTTTAGAGTCTTATGCTTCTCTCAACATCAAATTAATTCATGTATCAACTAGGAATTACACTGTCATGAACCTTTTTTTGGCCTCCAGACATTGACTTACCAAGTCTGGAAAACAAAACTTCATTTGCTACACTTAATTTACTTGTGTTTTACACAAAGTTATCACATGATAAGATGGCAAACCAACACCTCATTTTCCTGAGTATTAATTTCTAGAGCAAGAAAATAAATTTAGATGACAAATTTCTTGAAGAAGAAACAAAGTTATTTCCAAGAGTGTCATCCTAACAACACAGAACAATGGATTCTTATAGAAAGTGACCAAGATGCTACAAGAAGCTCTGCAAATAGAAGGAATAACAAACTTGGCTTTTTCTAATTCTGCACCTTGTTTCTGAGCTGTGTTGTTCGAGCTCCCCTCTCCCTGGCTATGTCTGACAGCTGATCACCAGAGTACAATAAAAAACTTATCAGCCAAACCTTTCTGTTACTGAGAAGTGGAACACATGGTCTGGAGCTTTCTGCCAGCTTTACACTAAACAAGACAGCTACAGAAACCCCATTACCTTCTAGAGCTCAATATTTCAATCACATTTAGCTGACACTGCCTAAAGGTTAAAAATTTAAGGGCAATCAAGAGAAAATAAGTAAGGCTAGAGTAAATGCCAAACTGATTACATTTTTTGCCTTAGGTGACTCAGTATAATAAGCACTCAAGATGACTGCATCGAAGAAACTTCAGAGAAAAAGTTTGAAAAAATCCTTCACCTAGTTAGGAACATCTAGACATAAAAACAAGAGATTAAGAAAAGATCAGGGAAGAAGCTGTCTACAAGTTAAAAGGCCAAAATTATTCTCTCAATCTTCTGACATACTTCAAATGTTTTATAGAAATATTGCATAAGTGTCTTTACACTTGGCACTGAAACAAACCACATGGTAGGAAGACTATTTTACAATACCAAAAAACCCCTATAATATAAATTTACTACACTTATGTCCCCCAATAACATCTCTGATGCATTTTTTGTGTGATCCAACTGCAACAGAGGAAGGTTGTAAGATGACCAGATTACCCTTACTGATGGCTTTTGGCCAGAAATATCATAAGAAAAGGGAAGAGCACCTTAAGTCCTGTTATTTAGGGGAAAAACAGAAAAGTAGCATCCAAGTTGCATAATGCATTTTCCCCTTTCTGCATTCACTTCTTACTTCTGCATTGCTTCCTAGAATCTTGTAGCTACTTCTTTATGGAGAAAGTACATACTTAACATCCCTGTCAGCCACATGGGCAAAGCAATGCAAGAGACCAGCAGACAGTGATGTGCTCATAAACACTGAGCCATGGTGTGCTCCAAGGAGGAGTGCTGTAGAAAAAACCCTACACAAATGTTTTGTTCTGCTAAAGGCAACAAAGATAGATAATTAAAACATTCTAAAATCAGACTTAAAATTAATTTAGATAGCATTTGGTTTATTATATAAGTTGATTATACAGCTTGAGGTACTGCCAGTTTACACCTTTAAAACGTCTTCCACCCATTTTCAATAACGGTTTATCTTGTGCAACGTGTGATGGTAAAATAAGGCAATACCAGTAACACCTTTTACGGGAAGGAGAAAGTAGGTTAAAGAAATATGCACTAGGTAGAACTGGCCCACATCTGAATGATGCAGGAAAACAGATCTCACAGGAAGTAAGGTAAACCTTAGTGTGATATCTGACAAGTTTAAATACATTCTGCTGCCTACACATATTCGACTCTCACTGTGACACGAGGGTTTGTACTACTTCTGATGATGCCTAAAACCAGAAATACAGGGAAAAATATGGAATGATGTGAAGAACTTATTCAATGGAGCTTAGGCAATCACTACTGCCCAGTGATTTTCAGCAGATCTCCATGGGTAGGTTATTGCCAATTCATAAGATATCAGCAGTTAAATCTGCTGGTCACTTTTTCCATGAACTGGTTTCCAGTAAACTGAATCACTCACTCCTGTCGTGACAACTACCACTGCTCTTTGTTCTAAATAACTCAGGGTATTTTGCATTTATACACAGCAACTGTGACCATTCTCAGCTTTTGTTTTTGTTAAATGTTCTTTACTCCGTGTTCCAGCGAGAGGATACAAGACTCTGTGCCTAGTAATTTCAGTCCTTACTCTATACCTCATTCCACTTTAATGTATTTTATTAGAAAGATGAATATAGATATGATGTTCTACTTCTGGGTTTAGAAACTATGTGTTAGCAACTGGCAGTTACATTTCAACTTAAACATATCAAAACATCTCAGTTGCAACACATGAGCAGTGTTAGGTACAGAGTGAGGGTTTAGAAATAGATGCAGTTCACCACAATACACAGATATGCCCAAGACAACAAGCTTAGGACAGTATCAGAATGGTTATCATGACAAATTAGAACAGAAAGGACGTAGTAAATTATAAATTTGGGTTTGCTTGAAGAAAAATTCTATATTCATACTAAAAGTAAATTAAAAAATCTGCTCATCACTTCTCTTTAACAATTCTAAACCAACTTCTGAAGTAGCTTTTAGTATTCAATAGAAGTTTGCAATTTCTTTGTAATAGAAAACACCACAGCAATAACCCTGCAATGATCCCTGCAATCACCTCATAGTCCAGGGAACATCCCCTGGAATGGCTAACAATGCTCAAAAATCAACTTCCTACTCTATGGATTCCCATCACAGAGCAACAAGAAACCGCCTCACTTTACTTGACTGTGCCTTCATTTGTACAGCTGACTTGAGCCTCTACACGGAGCTGTTTATCAGCAGGGAAGCCAAAGCAAAGCCTGCAACAATTGCTCCCACACAAGCCTGCAGAGCAGCTCCCTCCATGGCTCCCCTCCCTGGAAGCCGGGTGTGGGACCCATATTGAAAAAGTAAAAAAATTACAGCCTGAAAAATATTCCAGGCTGGAGCTTTTCAGCTCTGTTCCCAGCTGATAATCTGGTCCAGCTCAAGGCTAGGGAGAATTTCTCCCAGAGTGATCATTTGGTCAAAATAAAAAGGAATTAATAACAAAGATAGAACACCTGTTGTGGTGTGTGCCCAGGCTCTGGCAATGGGGTGTCTTCTCTCTGAAGCAATCACCTTTTCTCTACTCTTAGAATTGCAAGTCATGCTATAAAACCAAGTGTGTTTCTGAATAAACTTGTCTCTTTCTTCCTGTCGTGAAAGACGACCATGTAGCTGTGCATCTTATTTCCACTGCACTTAAAGGGTTAAAACCCCTTTCCACGGCTACAGCCGGGCAGGGGCACGGAGCTCCTGTGCTGGAGATTGCACACTCCTCGTTCTGCACAGAACCAACCTCACCAGTGGCTCCTGACAGTCCAGCCTTTCCCCTTCATGGTTTCATGGAACGATATGGTTGAAGTTACTAAAAATTAAGGTTACTCCCATGGAAGTTTTTCCCTTTACCCACTGCTCTGCACTCCCTGGAGCACGGCTCCACCTCTGGCAGGTGGAGGGTCTATTGCAGAAGGCCAATACCTCTCCTATTTAGTACCTGTTCAGGTACAACAGAATCCCCAGTTCACATGTTAAGAGGACACATCTTTAAGGCCAGTAAGGAGCAGCAACCTAAATAGTATTAAAAACTTAAGAGATGAACAGGAGACTATAGGAAACCCCTAATATTCCTAACCTAAGTGCAAGCACACAAACACATGGTACAGGTATTTTGTAACTCTGTACAGTAACCATGACAGGAAAAGAAAATCTCACTTCTGTAACAACTGGTACTCCACCCTCTTGCCACAGATTTCCTAGCAACAAAGCTTTTTCTGCACAAGTAACACACAATATTCAGTATACAGCTAGCAGAATGTCAGACATTTCCTAACACGAGTAAGAGATTGCTTTATCTTAAAGCAATCAGTCAACTCCACCATAGCTTTTTCTAAAAAAAGGTTAGATTCTAAATATCAAGGTCAACAGAACAAAACACCTGAACCCAAAAGCTACTGGCTAAGATCAGTTCCACACACCTTCCAATGCCCAGTGGGAAAAAAAATCTGGAAAAGTTGATATATCTTGAGGAGTTGAAACGTACCTCCCCCCTTGAAACTCCCAGAGCTACAGCCATTGCTAGGAAAGAAGGTGCATGAGAACCAATCTATTGTTTGTTATAAATTAAACATTCAGTCAGCAACTGCTGGCCAGTCACTAGGGGACATGTTCAATTTTTAGACAGAACTACAGTCAGAGGCCTGTTACAGTGAGATCATGCTCCCCTACCTGTTACCATCCTCAAAATAGGCCTTTAAAAGGTAACAAGTAAGATTACACAAACTGGAAGCTACAACAAAAGGGAAAATATTATAAACATGACACCTAGAAAATCTAGCAGCATCTACCCAGGGTTAAACGTGAAGGTAAAAGGGCAATGACAGAGTGATATGCTCCCCTCTCTCTATGGTTGGTCACTCTTCTCACACACTCACTGATGCACAACTTTCAAAGATGATCAGTTTTACTGCTAAAATACTGAGAATAGTCAGATGAAAATCTTAAACCAGGTATTTTTTCTAAGTCTCTCATTTCTACAAGTTGCACAAGGAAATTTCACAGGAAAGTTGTGCTGAATCATTTTTATTTCACTACCAAAGGGCAGATAAAAACTGAACACAGAAGACTGGATTACAGAAGTGTCCCATCAAAATAAGGATCCAACAAAAAAAGCTGAAGTCTGCTGCTGCTTGGCTCCCCTAAATAAAAACACCTTGGCTTACCAGATAACTGATTTTATTTTTCAAATATTTTCTTTGCCATAAAAAAAAATAAAATTAGAGACAGTTGGCCACTTACTGAGTTTTTCTGTATATCTTGCTCAACCTTAGAAGAAAACACTGAGAGGTCCCCATTGAGTATAACCTCAGCCAAGGAGTTCACCAAAGGAGCATAATGTATAATCAGAAAAACCTATTGGAAGAAGAGCAGAAAAAAATATCAGACATATTTACAGAATACTGTTTCACAATTTCACTCGCTGAACATACTTCTGACCTCATTAAGTGCTATCTTTAGTTTACATGTAAGTACAACTGGTAATACTGAGAGCTCCTTAAATCTACTTCTAAACACAGGAGACATGGGTATCTGACCTTTCTCCACCTTTGAAGCTACCTAGTTTTACTAATTCTTCCTATTCTTTTCTCCTTCTGAGAAGTGTAAATTCTCTCTTTTCAACACCTTTGAAACGAAGGTTGTGTGATATTCTAGCAAGGAACTAATTAAAACCATTCCAGAAATTATTTTTTTTTTAGAAACAACAAACTGATTATGGTGCACAGCATCCCCAGACCTTCCTGTGTGCCAACAACTGGCCAAACTCCAGAAAGTTCTGGGCACACAATCACTGTGCAGTGATTCATGACTAAGGTTATACACTAGGCTAAGCTGGATCAGAAGCAACTTTTCTGGCTCTGAAATTGCAGAAAATCAGTGTCAGCTACACAGTGGCTACAGAACACAGGAGTAAGGACCATAATGCCTGGAGAATTGAAGCTCAATTTGACCTCAAGTGCTTTGGTGCTTTACCAGAGTTCTCAGTTTACACTGACTACTCTATTTTGAGCCAAGGCTTAAAAGTCTGGGCCAGCAAACAACTGGCTCCTGGACAGAAGCAGCTCAGGTCCAGCTGCAATAGCCTTCTGTCAGCTAATATCTATTCTCTTCACAGGAATATCAAGGCTGGATCCCTTATCTATCTGTAAAAATCCCAAATAATTTCTAAGTCATTAAATCTAATCACTTTGACAATATTTAGCTAAATGTTCTCCACAGCTTTTCTGATTAGAGTCAGAAGCATTCCAGACCTCCAAAAGGAAAGTGATGATTAGCATGCAGTGGTGACCTATATAAAACTTTAAAGTCACAACACACTTCAAAAAGTGCTTTGAACAACCTCCAAATCACTCGGGCTTCTGCCAATTCAGCAAGCGTTGTGTGACTGTGCACAGGCCTGCTCTGGTGCAAGAACAGCACGTGTTCCCTCTGTAACACGGCTGACAAGTCCCAGCAGTCATTCCAGGTGCTAGCACAAGTCTCTCAAGCACTTGTCTCTAATGGAAGAGTAGTGCCCAGAGCATATGCCTCGTGTCAGGAACAGAAACAGTCAGCGAGGTTTGGCAGGTCCCACCTCACCAGAGACAAGGTTAAAGGAGGTGGGAAAAGATGTTTGTCAGTCATAGAAACAATTGCTTCATTTTCTATATCACGTCCCATTCTGATAGACAAAATTTATTCTCAGTTCTTTATGACTACTTCCATTTTCTTCTTTAAAGAGAATGAAGAACATAGATACAAATCCTGAAGTGAGACCTTGTCCATACTCCCACCAAAAGCAAGAACTTTAAAACAGGTCACCTTATACAACTGTATGATGCAGATCCCTTTGGTTACAAGAAGCTGCTGCTCCCACACCACCAAAATTTTTTAGGTTTAAATTTAGGAGCATAAAATTATATTTTCCTAGGGAAAAAACTCCAACCCCATACTTCTAGCAAAAAGATGAAATTATAGGCCAGATTATAATAAAATGAGTATTGAAAAAAGCTAAGATCAAAGAAAAAGTAGTATAAGTCCGATGAACTCAAATCAAAACTATTTTTAGACAGTGTAATTTAAGAAAATCAGTCTCAATGTAATGCACTGAAGACTACAGGGAGAACAAATGCATTTTCTCCACAATACAAAAAAATCTACTGTAAAACTCTTAATTTGAAAGTAAGTTCCAGAAAGAAAAGGAGGTGGAACTGATACGAGTAAGAAATAAGTACTTAATTTCAAGTTTAACCTATAGGCATAATGAAATTCATATTGTTAGAAAGTGAGATTTTAGTAGTGGTGGTTTTTGGGGTTTGGGTTTTCAAAGAAGAAAATTCAAACCTGAAATTTTCCATAGCTTAAGCAGATTCAAAATGCAGTACAGCATCTGGGTAAACTTCATCTGCCATTGTTCCAAGTTCTGTCCCAGCATGCTGCACGACTCTTACACTTCATTTGTCAGGGGGTGAACACAGTTTATGAACATGGAATGCTCTAAAGGGGATGTGCAATGGGATCCACAGAAAAATGACATTAACTCAAATAAGAAGCTCCTTTGTCTGCCAAAAATGTTTTCTTTTTTCTTAAAGGTTAAAAATTTGTTTTGACAAATTTTCTTTTATGGTTTTGCCAAAATGATGAAAATACAGTATTTAAGAATCACAACAGTACTGCAAAATTTGTTCTGAAACAGAACAAATACTTAAAATACTTACTTGAGAAAGAAGATAGAGAGAAACCTGGAGACTTATTTTTGGACGCTCTCCACCCTACAAAAAAGTTACAAAAAATGCTTATTTATTTATACAAAGAATTTATACGGCTCAATGTTTTATTTAAAATGAAACTTGTGTTGTTCCACATTCTGGTACAAAATATTCAGAAAGCATCATGTTCCTTAACATTCACTACTTATAAACTATTTGAAATGAAGACTCTGAATAAACATATCCCTCACTCTTCCTTGGTTAAAAAATTGCAATTAAATATTGTCTCTCATGGTCACTTCAGTAACATAAACAGGTGAGCATCTGAGAAGTGTATTGCTTTTCACTATGCTACTAATAGTTCAAAAATTTCTTCTCAGTTAATATTCATTAAAGACTGCTCTGAAAATTAGCTATTCAGATAGCATGAAATATTACCCACAACAGACAACTGAACACAGGAATCTGTGCAGGTTTAAAAATATAGTTTCACTAAAAACCAGTTTTCCACTTAGTTTAAAGGCTATGCTTTAAAAATAAAATCAGTTATACCACATAAAAACACAGCTTCTCTACAAATAATAGAGTACCAAACCTAAAGGTTTGTATTTTCTACAGATTTTTAGATCACGGCAAATTTGCTTTTTCTGCTTTTGCCAGAAGTTACCGTATCAGAAAAGGAAATCACACATCTCCCAGTGTTGCAGAAATTTAAACCCTGTTCCAAATTTCCAGTTCTTCTTGGTCCCCACTACTGTGAGCTTTTAATCACACCATGTCACCCAAAACAATATTTCTTTGGTGAATAAAATTTGATTTACTGGGCTCTTGAATTCCATCTCAGAGTATTTCCTCTACAGCCGCCTTATTTAAGCTGTTTCATGTAAACTACACATAGATACCAAAATCTCATATACCTACTGTCCAAATCACTGCACACTGACAGCAAGCAGCACCTTTGAGAATTAACTGTTGGCAGGTATTAGCTTACCTTGTCTTGATTTACTAATGAATACACGTAGAGGGGAAGAAAGAGCCTATTAAGTAAGTGGTCTGTCAGCACATCATTTAAAAATTCACAGTTAATGATAAGAATATCATTAAGGTAATGCAAATGATCAAGATGTTCTGCTACCAGGTCACTCAGTTTGCCCCTATTTCTGTGCCTGAAAAGAGAGCATAAATAAGAAATTATATGAGATCAACTGTGAAACTCTTAAAAACTTAAGAAAAAAAAAAATCAGCGTGCTCCCTGTAACAGATCACCTGGCTCAGGCAGACTGCCCAAAGCAGATGTTTCAGTGAAGTCAATTAATGCAACTGTTAAACAGTTGTAGTTTCTTTAGGATGCACACACCAAGTTTTTTCCCTAAGTTTTCACAAGACTGGTTTTACAAAGCTTCACTTTCCATCGCCAGTCTTTTCACAAGACAACTACAAAAATGAGAAGATTTTTTTCCAAAAATGAAAGAAGAATTTGGTGTTGTATTTAACACCTACCTCTTCACTTTAGGAAAGCAAGAAACACACACCCACTCTAAGGCAGGGGTGGCAAGACAAGCCAAGAACAACCTGAATCAATGAAGTATTTCTGCAGTTGATAGTGGAATATTACACTGCCATGTTAGGTCTGACATTAAAGTCCATCTTTCTAGTTTAAATCTTTTTCCTGGAATCTTTTCAGAAAGCTCTTCTAATAAGATGACACATAGACAAAGTTTACAAGATTGAGAAGCAGGAAATTCCTGTTGTGTCTTCTGGATATCTGCTATTTTTTAGCAGAACAATACAAAGATAAAGAAAAGTTTCATTGCAAACGCTAATTTACTTGTAGGGATATCAGCACAGATCAGGCACAGCACTATTATCTTGAAGAATCACTAAAAAACTTTAAAGAGTAACAGTCTGAACTGTCTACAAGGGAATACATCCAGAAACTAACTTAACTGGACAACTACAGACAAAATAAGAACACCATTGACATCTAGGAAAAGCATTTCCATTCAATAGGCAGCATTTGTAAAAGCTTACTCTTCATCAGTCTGCACACAGTTATCCAGCTCTATCACGTGGCTGCCAATAAACCAGACGAGGTTGGAGAAATAAGGAACTGCAGTTTTATCTCGAATGTAATGCAGCATAGGCTGGTTGTCCACTGAAGAGAAATCATCAAAAAGAAAAATCAGTTCCCAGTATTTTTTATTGCTTTTTAAGAAATACAACAAAGTATCTTCTGAATTTGATTACATGCTGGTTTTCCATACAAGTATACACCTGACACAATCTTAGGCATGAAATGGAAATCTATAAAAATGTCACATCACTTCTTAGCTGGCTTGAATGAGCCTAATGTTGATATATTTACAGATGTCTGAAAATAAATAAATCTAGTGGAATTCAGAAAGGTTCTTTTAGCACATTATTTATTAAAAAGAAGAGAGAAGCGCAAGAATAAAGCAGCAATGCTGAGAGTCAAGCTAGTTAGACTTACATGACACTGCATTAAGGAACACAGGAATCATCAGTGAAGGAAGGGCAAAAGAAACAGACAACAGTTAACAGGATTAGGAACCGGGATAGTGACATCCTCTAAAAGGGTTTAAAAAGCTAAAGCACAAAGCATCTAAACTAAAACACACAGGGTAGGTGTTAGAGCAGAATATATGCAAACAAGCAGTCAGAAAATTATCAAACCTGAACATCTGAGCTCTGCCTTTTCAACTCTAGCCATTATACCACTACAACATTCAATGAAAATTTAGACAAATAAATTTTTTCATAAAAATACTTAGTTGCATAAATATATCACAAATAGGATATCAAGCCTATAATCTGCTCTTCTTTTGTGAGCTCATATTTGCATTTACAGTTCCTTGAGTTAGAAAGCAAGTACCAAGTGCCCACTTCTCAATACACCAGAAGAAAAAGTGTTGCAGCCAATACTGTAAAGACCCTACTTGCTATGCAGGCTATCCAGTCATTAACTCCCATTGTTTTAAAAAAGACCTCATATTCTTCTTTGAAGACTGCCAAACACTTAATTGACAAAAAATTGTGTAAATTCAACATGCAATTTAACTTAAAATGGTCTAAAGAACAAGAAGCCCTGCATGAACATATTGCATAATATATATTACCTTACAGCATGCTGATTTCAGAGATAGAAGTTCAGAATAGACAATTTTTTTTTACAGCAAACACTGCGATATTTTCAGTCCATTAAAAATGTTATATATCAAGAAAAATTTAGGAGGAAGTGACTTTTGGACATTGGGTTTAGGGTAGACATTCTCAAAGTAGTGCTAACTTCAAAGTTCAAAGTTCAGGTTGCTGAGGTCCCTGCTGAGTTTTGAAGGCCTCAAACAATAGATGCTTCAGTTTCTCTAGAAAACCCATTGCAATGCTCAGCTACTCTCACAGTGAAGCTTTAGGGTCTCTCCTTATGTCCTACTGGAATGACCAGCACAGGAGACTGGGACTGCAGCACCCTGGCCCTCACTGAGCACCTCTGGGAATGGTCCAGCTCCTCTTGAGACTGGAGTGACTGCAGCACCCAACAGTCCTTACTGCCATTTAAATGCTTTTCCAATCCAAAAGGGAGTGATGTTGGTTACTGCTTCACACACTAGAAAGCTCAATTTTCATCAGTAAAAGATAATTCATACTCTTAAAACACTCTGGTTTTGGGATTTTTGTTTACTTTTTAAATACAGTCACATTCTGACCTCTCTTGGAAGAGAAATTCAAGTTCCTTGTGTATGCTTGACACTTTTGGGGTTTTTCTAAAGCCAGTTTCATTGGTGAGAAAATAATACTATTTACAAGTACATACTGCAGGCTTGGGAGAGTGGTCACAAAAGTCAAAATGTGTATCTGAAACTTGTCAACATGCTAAGCTTTTCAACCTCACAAAACAGACAGAAAACCCTCACAAGTAAATAACTGAGAATTAACTACAATGAAACAAGATTTGCACACGTGCCTTTTTTAATATATAAAAAGCATACCTTTGTAGACATTTAAAGTTATAGTCCTAACAGCAATCCTGACCATGCTTTCGGGGTGGTTAAAAAATTTAATAGCTTCAGTGTACAAAGCAAAGTCATTAGTGTGCTGTAACAAGAGGAAAGAAAATATTTATTCATTAAACAAGTACAGAATATGGATTGGGATTCTGTATAAATTATGCTTTCTGTGTATTAACTTAGTATCTTTCTACTTAAGTAATCAAAAGGATTTTACAATGCACATTCAGCTGCACATGTAGCTCTGCATTAAAATAAACTGCTTTAAGCATCGGAGCTTCCCAGGATAACTGTGCACATACTCAGTACTTTCATGCCCTCTTCTGGCAGAAAGTGGAGTGCAGAGAGGAAAAAACCATTTCCACTTTGCCCTTTTGACTCAGCCTTTTGGACTTGGACTAAACCTTTTAGAACCAAATGATGCAACAGAAAAGATCCTGTTTATGAAAGCACAAGAAAACAAGGCATTAACAAGTTGAATTCTCAAGGAAGAAGATTTTAAAACTACTGAAATGATCCAATATAAAACTAAATTCCAGATTTTTAATTTATTGTAGTTGTAAGAGGATAAAGCCATGCTTGTGCTGAGATCCTCACAAACAAATGCACAATCACTGGTACAGCCATTATAAAAATGAAAGCAGGACATTATGAGACAAGAGACTAAAAAGTATGTGCCACACTCTTATCAATTTCTAATTCAAGTCCTTTTTCATTATCCTGCAACTATCTTTACTTACCTCATTATAAAAGAAATGTACAGTATGATTATTGAGTTTCAGGGAAAGAGTTTTCAAAAATGATATGTAATATGCCATGATCTCCTCATCAGAAAAGTCAAATTTATGGACAATAATAGAATTCACATAGTTATTAGAGAGCAGGTAGTCTGAAAAAAAAAAAAAAAAAAAAAAGTATTTATGCAGGTTAACCAAAAAAACCACTGTGGTAACAGGCTGTATTTAATGTGCCAGCTAGAAAGCAACATCCTGATGCTTGAAGATCAAGACTTTGAACCAAACAACTCAAGTGATGCCTTTGAGCATTAATATAAAGGATATGCATCCTACAAAGGTCTTTGCTTCCAAGAACAAGGCAACTGAATATACTTCATCTTCCTCAACCCAGGTAAACTCTGCAGCTAAAAACACTTAACTCTTTTCCTCCCAAAGTCCCAACTCTCCAAGGCTTGATGATGACTTTCGTAACAGTTGTGGAATACTTCAAATTATTAATTCTCCATCGTCTATATATTTTGCCAAAAACCTTGAAAGAACCTCCCATGGCTGACTGCCAGCATTAATGATGTCAGAACAGTTACAGTACAAATTACACATCAGAGTTCCACCAAATGATCTGTGGCAGCAAGAGAACATTTCAGACAACAACTAATTTGACTTAAAGAATCCCTTGAAATGTGCTAAATGCTTGTTGTAGCAAAAAACTATTTTTGCACCACTGAAAATTTACATTGAGAGGTATTATGGAGTCAGTCTACATCGTATTTTTGGTAGTGTTCAATTTAAAAGATTGTTAGTAATTCATATAGTTCTGTGCAGGGATACTAGGACCAAATTTCATTGAATGAAAGAGAATCAAAACCAATCTCAATCACTTCATCCCAAGCAGTTTGAAAGTGTGTCCTTACATAGGGATGTTTCATGGCTGATGTTCTCAAAAAGGATGTTCAGGGTCTGCAGCAGCTGCACACACACATACCGACCAGACTTCTGACGCAAGATGTTCAGGAAAAACACAAACATATTCTTCTCCAAGAAAAAGCTGAAATAAAATAAAGATGTCATTAAGTTACACGCTGTAAGTAACAGGAACATAATTTGGCTAGGAGCAGGGATGATTCCAGGCAACTTTGACAAAGAGCACGTTTTGCTTTCATGAAGAATTACTTTGCAAAGTTGTACTCAAATACTAAACAGGGGGGCTTAAAAATTCAAATCATGCAGAAAAAAGGTCTCAAGAAATCAGGGCCCTTCTTACTGTATTTTTAGTATATTCAATTTATCAGGAAGCTCTAGATACCACAGCTAGAGTGAGATATTTATTTGTGGTATCTCAGGTAAATTGAAGCAATGTGATATTAATAGATGTGAATCTGGACCCTAAAATAGGTTAGAATTTGTATTTATATGAAAAGAATGGAGAATCGAACAAAAGCAGTGCTTGAAAGGGGCTCTGGATTCCAAACACTTTTTAGAAGCAGCAAATTCCTGTATGACATGAATATGAACCTGGTCACACATCTACATCTACTACAGGACATAGCTTTTTACATATAGTCATGAAATACAGTCCTGGAGGAGTTACCAGTAACAGTGTACAGAACTCAGTACAACTCCAGGCATTCTTCAAAGGCAGAGTCTCAGAGAGACCTGGCTCAGGAGTACTCACTCAAACACTGAGCTGTCATTCTGATCCCCCCAGATGAGGATCTCCGTTATGGAACGAATGGTCTCCACCAGCAGGTTGCGGTTGTGATCTGTTACTGTGGTATTTTTAGTCAAAATATGATACATGTACCTAAAAGAAAAAAAAGAAGTACAAGTAATGTGCTATCCTGCCACTTTCATACACACCATGTTTGTCTTTCATCACTGTACCAATGCAGACACACATGTTTGCACACACTAAGTCTAATCATTGTAAAATTTTAAAACCCTAAAATTTCCTTCTAATACTGACGCAGAGAGAAAAGTAATTGTTAAACAGAGTAAGTGACAAAGGAAACAAATCCCCTCCCCAGTCAGGTGAGTTATGAGTGCTTATGCATATGCTAACATAGAACTAGAAACTGTGCAACTGGTCCCAAGTGCTTCTTCTGTGAATTTCTTTGGAAGATGTTGAAGTCAAAGGAGTGATGAGCAAGAAAAATAGCGAGAGAAGAAGCAAGTAAGCATGCAGTAGCAGATATGGGAAAGTGGCACATGAGGTCTAACCAGAGAAGTCTGATCCCTTCTCTTGCCTGCAGAGACCCCCTAGAGGCTCACATCAATTCTGACATTTAATATCAAACACAGGACTCTCAGAGACTATTCATTCACCTTGGAAAGCTTCACCATCAGGGCTCTGCTCTCTTGAGCACAGAAATAGACTGGAAAGGGAGTAAAGTCCAGCTTTACTGTTTCAAAGGGTAAGAGTTTTAGACAGTCTAATGAAGCTTAAAAAAGGGTATCTCTATATCACAGGTGACAGAAAGCTATAAAGAATACAAGCCTTTCAGATTTTAAGTCTTGGAATTTTACTCTTCAAGGAAGTATTTTTTTCCCAAATAAGTTGTCACATCAAAGTACCAACTTACTTCTGTCTTGCTACTTTCTTCCCACAAAAAAAAAAAAAAAAAGAAACAAAAAGAGATGGGGTAAGGGCAAATTCTAATAAAAGCACACAAAAAAAATCACCACTGTTTTTCTCCTTGTTTTTTTTTTTTTTTTTCTTTTAGGTAGTAATAAAAAGGTGCAGAATTTTGAAAATAAATAAAAAACATGAGTGAAATTTAATGTAATCTTAGAACTGCACAAGTTTAGATTCTTAAACACAGCTCCTATATTGTTATGTTGTGATTGTACTGAAAACCAGGAGTAACACCTCAGCATTCAGAATTTCTGTGCAATATAGGCACAAGGGTTTGGAAAGGAAGACAGATTTCCTGTATTATCAATCTTGCCATAAATAGTGGAGTTAATCAAAACTCCCAGGATCTAATTCTGTGAAAATAGCCTGTGTCCTGACCCTGGAACAGCCTTTCACTATTGTTTTGGATTCCATGAAAGTTTGTTCAGTGATTCAGATTGAAATTTTAGGAATCTCATTAGTAGAATTTTACCAAGCTTCTGGTAAGGTTCCAAAAAATACAGTGCATTTCTAAAACAAAAATTTAGGGTGTCTGGTTTATGGCTTAAAGTAAGATGTTTACATTAAAAAAACGGACTTGAAAGCACATTTCAAAAAAAAGGTTTCCCATCAATTTTATAAATACTAAAAAACTGAATCACTGCACATTGAATCTCTGGCAAGCATGCAGCCAGACTAAAATGCCATTTAACTGAACACTCATGTGAGGCTGTTCCTACTATTTAGCAGATTTACAAAGACATTACCTAGTTTCAGAACCTTTTGCTTGAATACCAAAAAACCTTCCTCAAACAAACAAGAACTTCGATCATATTTACAGTTTACTTAAAATCTGTTAAATTTCGTTTTGGGAGTCTTCTTAAACCACTGAGCTACCACTGAGTGGGGCAGTTTCACAGGACCTGCTGCAGGACACAGGCTGTCCTCACAAGCCATGCGGGGACCAGGTGCTATTTCAGAGAAGCTGATAAAATGCTCTGTGCTGTTATGGTGAAATACTCTGTGCTTGCTGGTCTTGATACTACTTAACCATCAAACAACAATTCTGCTGTGCTGAGTACTGCACAAGGACACAAGAGGTAAACAGCCCTCAGAAGTTCACAGCTTTAACACATTTGATACACCACATGCTCCCTTCCCTCACCCCCCTAATCAGCAATGCAACAAAGCCTGCACTACGTTACCAAAGCCATTATCATATTTCATATATATATCATCAGACAGCAAAGAGGAGAAAAAAGGGAATATGTGGCAGGGGGGGAGAAGAGGAAAGGGAATTGTCTTTTCTCAATCTTCAGTAAAAAAAATTCTCTCCCCTTCATAGTGGTTTTCTCCCCTCTCATAAATCAACACTCATTTTCAAATCCAAAACAGTCACAGATCATGCTGAAGCCACTCTAGGAAAAGTTGATTCTCAGCTGTGTCCTACAGTCATAACTGCCTGGTCATGTGCTGTACCATAACAGTCATTAAACAGCAAGGCAGAGAGCACCTGGAAATCCTCTTCCACTAATCTGAGGATCCCAGTTCAGGATTCCTTCTGTGGAGACTGACAGTGAGATGACCCACAGTGAAGATGTGAGAGCTTAAGGTGTGAGAATTCCCAGGGTTTCTAAACCAGTATACAGCACACAAGTCCTGGAAAAACTTCCCATTAGAGCACTATGAGCATTATCAGGACAGCAAATCAAAAGACAGCATAAACTCAGTCCCTGCTCTGAGAATGCAGCAGTTAATGGAGAAGAGAACATCTGAAGAGATGGCAATTACAGCAGTTCATCCCACAATTTTAACAACTTCCTGAGACAGTTAGTAATTAATACCATATTACTTCACATATTTTAGCCTATTTATTTGAAGTCACATAGAAATTATTGCATCTGTGAACATGTATTTCTCATTAATAAGTTACATGACACAAACTTGGGATTTAAGTTTACTCCAACAGTAGAATTTTGGGTATGGGATGCACTGGAAAGAATAACAAGCTATTACTTCATTTTGGGAGGTTATGGAATATAGAGCATTACAAACACAAAATGCAAGAAGCATTTAATAGTCAGGAATACATTATCTCCAAATTTATTTACTTAATAGCAGCATTACTACAAAATTCCTTAATCTGATAAAGCAATGATGCACTCAGAGGAAACCTGGGCTTCACCAACAAGCTATTCCTTTGTATTTAATTTTTCATTTATCCTATTTGCTTGAAAATGAACAAGAAAGCAAACACATACTTGTTTCTCCTTGCAAACATGTGAAACAAAGTATCACACAACCTCAGTATTTTTGTATTTAGATAAATCCTTAAAGGCTGTCTCTAAATACTTTTACAGAGGGGTCAGGTTTGTGCTTCAAAACACAAAACTGTCAAAGAGGAGACTTTTGTCATGTCTATATCTGAAGACTGGGTTCAAACAAAAGCACATCATGCAGGAAGTGTCAAAGCACCCAATATCATCAGAATCAGTGGGAGATGTTGCCACAATTCAACAAACCAAACAATTTCTGAACATTTGTCTGGTTAGAACCCATGCTCAAAGGGGTAGCATAGTAACTCATTAATATTTTAAGTGCATATTAATGACTTTTCTACTTATTACTTACAAAAATACACTAAAACAGGTAAGAGTTTAAGAAGTCAAGCAGCCAAATTTTAAAAGCCCAGACTTGACCATAACAGGCTTTTCCCTTCCCTCTGCCTGTAATCAGGTAATTACATATTGTTCTCAGAGAGGAAACCTGATGCACAGCACAGACGGTGCCTCAGGAAATGAATCACCCATGAAAAAAGACTTCAAGCATACCTTTATGGACACTGCATCTGACCAAGGCATGGGAAATGTTCAGCACCCAATTTTAATGGCATGGAACCTTTTGTGCGATCACAGTGTAATTAAAATACCAAGTGCAGAAGCAACAACGGGAAATGCGCTTGACAGTAACAAGAGGGCTATGTAAAATACCACAGAAAAGTAGGGGGATAAGTCTGAATTAGAACACAAAAATATCAAGTTCTCTGAGATGCACCCAGGTAATGAGTAGCACTGTCTCATCCTTCTCCAGATTGCATTTCAGAAGCTGGATTAAATTTTACCCGTTTTCACTAGATCAAGAGACTGTATAAAAACACACTACAAACAGCCTCGCAATTTTCCTTTAGCCAATCCATTCTCTGGTGAGTTTGCAGGAAGACTGAACAGTAAAATTTCAAAAGCAAGCCTCAAACAAACTGCATTAAAGCTGATGGGAAAGATCCAGCATCTACTGACAAAAAGCAGTAATGCTGCTGGTATCACAAAGCATGTGTATAGATTACAATTTAGATTAAACTCTACCTTATGCAAGTTTAAAAATAAAAACGTTCTCACAAGGCTAGCCCAGACCGATTTCAACAGTAAGATAGCATAATATACCTTTTACAGGCTGAGCTGACCTGTAACAGCAAGGCAGGTGTGCTGTACTCAGCTCCTTCATATGGAGCACAAAACGAGGCTTTGGTGAGTTGAAAAAATGAGAAGGTAAAGAGCTTATCAAGTGAGCTTACTGAGATTTTCTTTCACAACCCCAAAACACAGGCTCTCTGCCCTTTTTCCTTCTGTTACTTTACCCACTTCAACATTTAGAAAAAACTTAAATTTCACCTTTCCTGCTGGCATCTAGCTAGAAGCTGAAATTCACACAGTCTGGATAAACAAACACTTAAAATATACATAGTCTAAACAGCTCAAAGGTCTCATCTGTCCTTTACAAACGACCATTTGAGATTCATAATTACAGAAATCACATGCAAAAAAGCAAACAGACCAGAGCCCGAAATGAGTAGATAACTAAACTTCAACTCTCATATAAGTCAAGGACAAGCCACGAAACTTACAGTCCAATTCCCTTTTGCTACAAATGAGGTAGAGTGTTATTTTTCTATTCTCTGCGGCCCCAACAGAAGATATGGACAGATTTTTCTTGCCTGAAAGTTAAGTCTCAAGTCTCCCTCTCACCAGCCTTTTTTTCCCCCTAAACTTAAATTCAGTTTCTTCAAATTTCGTCACACATCAGCATTCTTGCTCTATCTTCAAGTCAAATATTAAAGCCAGACAGAGCCAAAGCTCCACTAACGCCGAGTAGTACACAATAACTACTGCTTGTATATTCAATAGAACATTCCTGTGTTTACATCTGAGCGTGACTTTTCTCCTTTTTCCTGTAAAACCAGACTACACTGACTTACTAGTCTGACCTACAATGCTTTCAAAATTACTTCTGCAATGCTACTGCCTCATTAGTTTTGTATTCATGGACTTGATTTTTGTGTCTTTGATAAAAAGCATTGCATTTCAGTTAGTCTTACTGATTTTGAACATTTTTCCAGTTTAGAGACAAGGACTGGAATCCATAAATCATCTTGATAAAGCAACTGCAAGATCCAAATCTTGTACAGGGCATCCTGCTCATTACTGTCAGAACCCATTCACGTCCTCCTTGCAAGATGACTGAAAACTACCAGGCACTTTTTCTCAATGAGCTACATATTCACAGTGATTTCATTTAGAAAGTGCTTCATCTCTTAATGACCTCCTTTTCTCGTTGAGTACGAAGAGAAGCTACCAAGGTGGTTCGTATTTTTCTTGCAATAGAGGAACACTTAAAAATGGAACAGGGAAATTAAATTTTTTATCCCTTGCCACCCTTCCAACTCTCAAATGGCAGAGCTAGGAAGTAACTATTCCACCTTCTGCGGCCAGCAGTAACACAGGGCTGTGGGCTCCGGAGACACACGCTATAGTTCTCAAGCCCAAAGCTTTCCTTCTGCAGCAGCTGCTGTGTCCTGCAGCCCAGCGCACACCCCGGCCCGAGCGCCGTGACTCACTGCTGGCTACCGACAGCCCCACACACCCTGGAGCTGCACTGCTCACACACCGGCACGGTCCCTCGCCTCAGCCACCACCAGGAAACAAAGTTCTCCCTCAGAGGAATGCGGTATTTCTTGTATTTATCACGCATAACACTCTACTACACCGAAGACTCTGTGGCATTACTAAAAACAAAACAAACACGTATGGCAGCCCGGAGTGACATTATATGACGAACTGCGTCTGTCCTGTAGACTTTCTGGGACGAAGAGGCCGGTTTCCTGAGGCAGACACAGGCCCCAGAGCCTCCGCCACCGGGGATTGCTCCGGGCGCTCTCCTCTCGGGAGAGCTGCGCCAAAACACCCCGTGAGGGCAGGGAGCGCCTGGGGAGCGTCGCCCGCCGAGCCACCCCCTCTTCCCCCGACCCCGCAGCCGTCTCCGAGGGAAACCTGCCCCGAGCAGCTCCGCGGACGGACCCCGACCGCAATCACCTCCTCCGAGCCCCGCCACCCTCCGCCCTCACCGCCGCCCCGAGACCGCGGCCGCCCCCTCGCTCACTTGAGGTGGTCCAAGGAGTGGATGCTGCGGGCGGCCTTCCCATGCCCGCCGCCCACCCAGCTGCGGGAGCGGCCGAACATGCTGGCGGCGGAAGGCTGCTCCGGCCCGCGGGCCCTACGGCCTCATAGTCCCGCAGGGCTGGCAGGCGAGCGCCGGGCGGGGACCGGCGCGGAACCTCGGCGGCGGCACCGGCGCGCAGGGCGCATGCGCAGCCAGGGCACGCCGGAAAGCGCCGGCCCGGCCCCGCCCTCGGCCCCGCCCCCGGCCCGCGGACTGCGAGTCCCAGGGAGCACCGCGGGGGCGGGGCCGAGCCCTCACAGGGGCGGGGTGGGGTCTGCTCGGGGGGCGGCTCGGTTAGAAGTACGTGAGAGTAAACGGAACCCAAACCAGGAAAAACCCCGAACATTAGACGTGAGAGTGTACGTCCTAAAAGCATTATAATTTGAGGTAAAATTTGGGCCCTGACAATCTTTGTCCGGCTTCGATAACCCAAATGAAGCTGTTCTGTGGGGTCAGCTCCTGTACTGCAAGACGCAGCGTCAGAAACTCAGCTGCTGACATGCCCCTTGCTAAGGTTTTTCCAGTAACGATTTTGCATCGGCTTAAAAATTATGGAATAACAAAGAGAAGGGGACCCTTGACTGTCTTGACCTAGTCTGGGCTTTTTAATTTTTTTTGTGCTTTAGCTAGAGAAGTAAACTAAATCTGTGTAAAAGTTAAAGAGTTTGTCACCAGTATCAGAAATAAGCGAGTTTAAAATCCCGCCCTCGGTTATACTTTAGTATGGGTAAAGCCTTGGTCAGCAAAGGAACACCCGCACCGCAGCCGGGAGGGGCCAGGGCCCGCAGTGCTGCTTCAAAAGGGCCTCGGTCACAGCCGAGGTCGTCAAACAACTTTGAGGGGCGAAGGCACAGCCCAGAGCTGCCCCGCTCCGCAGGCTGCGGCTGCGGCAGAGCTCGGGCAGGCCGGGGCGCGCAGGCGAGAGTCGCGCAGCGGAAGCCGCCCCCTGTACCCTGCAGCCCCCGTGCAGCCGCAGCGGGACCCGAACGCCGGCAACGCGGCGGAGGCGCCGGCTCCCGTCACGGCCGCCCCGCGCCAGTGGCAGCGCGGCGCTGGTAAACAACAGCGGCGTGCGGCGGGTCAGGCGCGGGGCGGGGAGCGAGGGGCGGGCGGGCAGCACGCTCCTGCCGCGCAGGCCGGGCTCGCTGGCAGGTGCTCCGCGCCGACCTTCCAACGCGCCTGCGGGCTCCTTCCGCAAAGTTTGCGGGCGGGAGGAGGAGGAGGGAGCCGCGGCGGGACTGCAGTAGTCGGGCCGGGAGATGCCGCTGAGCAGCCTCCTGCCAGCGGCGGGGCTGCGGCAGCGCCGCTGAACCCGCGCTGGCCGCTCGCCGGGGCGCCTCTTCCTCTTCGGAGACTGAAGGGACCGAGCCGGCCGCTCCGCGCTCCTGCGGGGCTCGCCTCTTCCCGAGGTCCGAATCCGACTCCTCAGGGATTCTGCCCTTTGGTGCCACCGGGGCTGCGGCGTGCAGTCCTGCCCCGCTCTCAGCTCCGCCGCTGCCGTCCGTCCCCCGCGCCGGCCGGGCGGGTCGGTGCCCGCTGCCCCCGCAGCCCCCACGGCTGCATGACCGCCGCGGTCTCCGCACGTCTGGATTCGGTGGAGTCCTGGGCCTTCCATGCGCTGCTGGTGCTGCCCTATATGTTTTACGTGGGCTTGTTCTTTGTCAACGTGCTGATCCTGTACTATGCCTTCCTGATGGAGTACATCGTCCTCAATGTGGGCATCGTTTTCCTGCCCGAGGATATGGACCAGGCTCTGGTGGATCTGGGGATGCTCTCCGACCCTGGCTCCGTGCTCTACGAGACGGACAGCGAGCTGGATGTCTTTGACGGGTATTTGGAGTGACGCCCCAGGGCGCTCCGAAGCGACTGAGCTCTGCTGCTCCCTGGCCCGGGGCAGGGGCCCGGCGTGCCCTCATGGCCGCAGCTCGGGGACCGCCGCGACCCCACGGTGCCCTCGCTGCGTCGCGGCTCCTTGTGCGCACCATCTTCACTTCCCAATGACACCCATCTCGCCGGGGCGGGGGCCGGAGGGGCAGTCGGGACCCGCTGCCGCCGGGCAGGCCGGCGGAGACGCAGAGGGCTCGCAAAGGAAGTAAGTCATTTGTGTCCGGCCGGGCACAGCGCTGCCGGGGCAGCGGGCACAGCGCCGGGGACAACGCTCCGCCGCAGCTCCCGGCACGGGCGAGCGCTGAGCCCAAAGGGCCGGGGCCGCCCTCGGCGCTTCCCCCGCCCGGCAGCGCCCTGGAGCCGGCGGGGCCGCGCTCCGTGTCCCCTCCGCGGCGGGGACAGCGACCCTCGCCCCCGGGATTCACACTCCGAGCAGCTGTGCTGCTGGGGGCTGCCTGTATAGCCAAGCAGCAACTTTGCTGATCCAGTCCCGAAAGCAGCCCTAAATCGAAACGAGCATCCCGGTTAATCTTGATTACAGTTCAGAGACCTTCTTCGAGCCAAAAATACATCTTAGTTTGCTGCCCTTTAAAACCACTCTCTTGGATAATGACAAACTACCCAGCTCACCGTTCTTCCCATTTTAATTGTAGCACGAGCGTTTGCTTGATCGGGTTTTCTGGTTGTGGTTTTTTTTTTTTTTTTTGTGGTTTTGAGTGATTCTAAAACTCTAGAAATGTAAGGATTTAGCATTTTAAAACACTGAAATGCATTTGGGAAGAAAAATCACTATTTCTGGCTAGGACATTCTGTGCCAAATGTATGTTAATGAAAACATTCACAGTTTAAATTAAAATGTGTTAGCAAATCTGCCAGCAGATTTTTTAGCAAAATATTGTCTGTAAATCTGAAAACCGGTTCAAGATATCTTTATTTTTCTGTTTGAAATGATGGAAATAGGAAATTCAGTTAAAAGGTTTCAAGTATAAACTCGGTGACCACACTATACAAATACCAGTTAATATCAAACTATTTTAAGGAGTCTTCTAATTTAACAAATGCAAACAAACCTTTCCTGTAGTTCTGTCCTTCATATAGGTTAAAATTATGTCCTGAATATTTCTAGTCAGATTCTGTGTTAAGCAGTATTACCTGGTTTTGGCCAATAGTTTAGAAGGAAGAATTGGACATTTTTGGTGTTGGAGTAACATTGATTGCACAAACACAGCTGAACAAGGCTTGGCCAAAGGCATGTGGGAGCCTAACAAGGGAGTGAACAGATTTTGTTGCTACTGAAGAAATCTCACTGCATATAGTCACTGCAAATGGAAGTGTCTATGCCAACATTTGGTGGCCCATCCCAAGCAACTGGATTAGAATCAATTCTGCTAGAATAGAAAGTGTGGAGCAGAACAATCCTCCCCACAAAACACCATTGACTACTTTTGTGGTTGTCTCCTTCTTTTTCAGTTGGACAAATAATACACATGCTCTGTATTCCAGGAAAGAAATTCCTAAAAATTAATGGTAATTTAAGCGAAATCTTTGGTGCTAAAACCCATATCCATTTTCTTCTCCAAAATACCTTTCCCCAAACTCGAAATCTTAGTGCTCCAATGCAATTTAGTAGGGGGATTAAAAATACTTTTTTAAAATCACTTTTTTTTCTGTCTAGAATGTGTCTTAATGAGTTGTTTCTAGTTTTCAGGAAGACCTAAGGAGAGCACCAGACACAATTTTCCTCAGTGGGTTTTCCCTACTATACAAATACATAATTTGATATGATCACAATTCTGTTCGGTGTAGATGAATGGGATTCTTAAAATTTTCCTTTGTATTAATAAGATAAGCAGCTCTGGGAAGTTCTTGATATAGAACGCTTCATATGGAGAAATCAAAATGCAGATGTTTTCTCGAAGCTCAGGAGTAAGGCTCAGTTTATATCCACCAAGAGCTGATGGAGTTCTGCACAGGTACCAGTTCCGGCCTTGACCTCTTTTTTGGAAGCTGTCATGGTAGATGGTGGTTTCCATTGAGAATCAAATCACAAATCTCAAAAGTTAGGTCAGTCCCTAGGCAGCAAAATGTTTACTGTGTTTCATCTATTTATATATTAAATTATACTTACAGACGTAGCAGCGAGGCCACAAATTGCACAGAATTATTTAGCTACCAGGCAGACACAGCATTATCCCCGTGATGAGGGATTTGAGTTAATGTCCTGGTTACAGGTTTCTTCACTATTTTGTTCCATTCCTCTTCACCAGTTCTGTAGTAGCAAAGCAGGCAGAAGAGGGCCCTAATTTGGAGCTGTGTTTTCTGCTTTGGGAGCAACAGTAAGGCCCTGAAAGGGAAGATTTAAATTCTTGTGGTGCCTTGCCTGCAGTGACCCGAGTTCCCTGTGAGTGTTAACCCCTGCTCTCCTGGCCTGGGAAGGTTTCCCACCTGCCTTGTTCCCTTGCACCCAGAAGTGCTAAGGATTCACAAGGCACTGCAAGAAGAATGGGTCTGTTTTGCCAGCAGTGATGAAAAATATGTAGGCCTACTCTTTGCATTAAAGAGCAGAGTTCTTCATGTGACTCACCAGTGATTTCTGAGAACAACCAAAGAGCTATGATTAGCCTGAGCTGAAACCTTGCAGCGTCCTCCGTGCCTGGGAGAGTAGTGCCTCACATCCTGGGTGAGTGATGGGTGACAGGAAAACAGAGGGGGCAAATCCCAGGAGCCATTCTGCAGTATGTGGAAAGGCTAATTTAGATGTAAAAAATAAAAGAACACGTGGATCAGAACAGCTCTGTGCTCTCTGGCAGCAAACCCCTCACTTGAATAGACTCAATAGAAGCAAAATTATGACCAAGTTTCTGAGCATAATTGGTGGCAGAGATCGAAGGCAAACAGATAAGTAAGCAGCTGAGAAATATTTCCTGGCCTATTCAAATGAAGAAATTCATCTGTGTAAACTGAACAGAACTGAGCTCATTCATGTCATCTAGTGTTTTTGTGTGAGTGTGCCAGGTTATTTACTATATTTGAAGCCCCCTGGAATAAGGTCCTATGACTGTTCTCATACTTTCATAAAATTAGATGTGACTCATCAGAAAGTACTCCTGTCAGAAAGAAAATGGGCAAAAGTAATCAATAATGAAAACTGAATACAAAAGACTGAATTTATGTAATCTTGCAGTACATGCTTTACCTGTATTTTTTCATAAGATGAATTATGATGAGTATCTTCAGTGATCAGAATCCAGCACTCAAAAACCTGTGACTCAACACTTCTAACGAGTGCCAGCATCTAAATTCTGAATTAAAAAAAAAAAATAGCTTAACTCCCCAGCTCATCAATATAGTGCCAATTAGAACTGCAGGCTCAGTGTCTGAGACAGCCACCGCCTGTGCCTCTGTTCTGAAGCAGAGATGTCCTGCAGAGGACAGATCAGAAGAATGATGTCACTAGCACTGCCAGGATACATTTAAATGTATCAGAATCCACTTCCTGACTTCTTTCTTTTCAGACTTTAAATATTAAAAATAACGAGCAGAGTAGTTTCTTACTTAATTTACCTTGCCATTTTTCACTATTTTCCCTCTTTTTGTAGAGACCACCAAGGTGATTTGTTGATACAGATACAGATCAGTTGGCTGTTTTATGAGTTGTAGTAGCAACAGGACTGAGCAATTGCTATGATTTTTAGAAGTGTGTTTTGAATTTTTAGATGTTATTAAAGTTAATAGAAGTCTAGTGTTCAAATTCACCTGACAGATCTGCTTTAAAGAAACTTGTATTTAACAGGAGTTCCATTAAGATGGAAGACAAAATCATGGTTAACTGTTCAGTTGTCCATACAGACTCATTAACCATAGCCATGGACAGTTCTAAGTGATTTTCTGCCAAATGCATTTATGTATATATATCTTGTCAAGAGAGTAAGCAGATTTTTCAGAAAGTTCTCCAAATGGTGCTGTTAATAATGTGAATTAAAGTGAGGCACAGAAATTAGAGAGATGTTCAAGATGTTTGATAGATATAGTTTAGGCCAGAGTATGGCAAGTGTTAAAAGCCTCAGCCACAAGTAACTTTAAAGAATAATTTTTTTAAAAGTCTGTGGTTCTTTCCTATAAAAATCAAGCTTCCTGTAACAAACTTGCTTTAATAGGCATCAATTGCCAATTACCACTTTTAAGTTGTCAAAGGAATTAAGAAACTAATCCAGTTTAATTCTTCATGTTTGTTTCCTCTGGAGGAGGGACAAAGTGACACTATAGTTCAGCTAATAACTATCAATCCTAAAATAGAAGAAAAGAATAATTTGTTTAGAGACATTTAGTCTCTAACACTTTGTCCCCTCATAATGGTCCTAGCTTATAAGGAATACAACTATCCCAAAGGATTAAATATGCACAAGTAACTGAATCTTTCCAGTCGTTCAGGGAAACTGTCAGACTGTCTTTCTTTTTGCAGTCGAGTTTTATTACTTTGGCTACAAATTTGGAAAGAAAAAATAGCTGAATAATTTGAATGGTGCTCTCTGAAGATACAAGCATGTGTCTAATATAAGTGGTAAAACGGGCAAAGACAAATAGGAGCCATATATGGGAAATAATGTTACAATGGAAAATAATGGATTGCTGGGGAAACTCCGGGTCAGTTCATAGACTTAAGGCTAAATACTCTTTGCAGGGGCAGAAAGAAAGACCCAATGGGGGCTCAGGCATTAGAGCCAAATAGGCCACAAGAGCTGAAACACAAGTGAGGAAACAGCAAGCAGACAGTGTCAGGGTGTGAAACAGAGTCACACCATGTGTCCTTTGCTCCAGCCTACATTGTGAAGAACAGTAACTTCAAAGGAAGGTTTAACAAAGATATCGTGACTGAGCTGTTAATGCTAGAGTCATACTGCAGCCATACTGCTCAGTGCTTGCTGGTGTGTTCTAGGCTATTGAAAGTTCTAGTTCTGAGATTTAAAAAATGTTTTAAAATATTTTCTACCTCCTAATTTTCCAGTTTTCTGAAATTTTTGAAGTTTTCTGTTAAAAAATAGTTTCTCATTAAATTTGAGGGACAGATTTCTAATCTGAAAATTAGAAAGGCAGGATTGAATATCCTGGCCAATTGTATAATTTACACCCCATTTATTATCTGCCACAACAAATTACAGTCTTGGACTAGCAGCCCTACAGCAGTGTTTGGAACCATTAGATAGCTTTACACTTTGCTTTGGAGGCCCAGTACATTTTGCTGTGCTATTTTGAAGTCAGCCTAGAATCTGATCTAACAGTGCAGAATAGTGACAACTGCACTGAACTGTCTGCTGTAGATGTTTTTAGTTCCACTTGGAAAGCAATCAGATAAACATGAAATGAGCAACCTGGTAGAGCTGCTGTTCCCCCTTTTCATGTTCTCATTTTAAGAGAAAGGATTTTGAGCAGATGTGTTCTGTTAGCAGGTCCTGTAGCTGACAGACGTTTGACAGAAATGCCTCACTGGACACAAAGTGCTTCTTGTTTCTGACCTAGAATCTGCAGTAAGTGGCACACAGGAACATGGGAAGTGTTGTGATGAGTCAGATCACGATCTCACAGCCCTGTGTTCCACCTCTGGGAGAGCTCATGTCCCTGACCAAAATCTGCAGGCTGCTCTCTGTGCTTTCCCAAATCCACAAGGCAGAATGCAGGATGTTAGAAGGTACATTGCTGCCCAGTCCTTTAGCAAACGTTTTCCAGACCTGCCACTCTTTGCCCACTCTGTGTTATGAAATCCCTCTGGATTTCCTTCCCATCAGTACATGATCTGAATACTTGAAAGAGCTTAGTTTTTGAAATCTTGAAGATTTCTCTATTCATTCTCTTTGAGTCAGTAATGGTGATGAATAAAAATTGGTCCCTGGTACACTCTGCTGCTGAGTTCTTTCCTACCAAGCTTTATTCTTTGCTTTCAATCTTTTAATCTGATTTCAATCCTTAAAAGAGCCTTTCCCCCAATCCTGTATCAACGTGTTTGCTTTTGGCTTCCTGTAACTCCTTTGTTAATGACACTATTGCTCTGTGTGTCCAAGCTCATGTAGAGGGTGTAACCATCAGATTTCATTCTTCATTCAGACCCACAAAGGGGAAGGAGGGGAGGGAGGAGCTGTCCATTCAGGCTTGCTGCACACAACACTGAAATGTCCTGGGCTGCAGGCAGCCAGGGCACCTGCTCGTGGTCTTCTGGACCTCAACTCCTCCTCAACACAGACTCATCCCAAATCATCCTCTCTAAGAGCTGCATCGTTCTACACTAGACCATCTGTAAAATCACAGGACGAGATGAATACTGTCACTAGTGCCCAGCACCTTCGTAATGAACAGCTCTGGTTTTATAAGGAATCTTCTCAGCCTTGTATTTACCCCTGATGATTGTAAAAAATCACCTCCTAATAGCAGTGGGATACTTTGACTCAGTCAAGGCAAATGAGATAAACTGGGATAAAGCAATATAACAGTAATTTATTCTTGGTAGTAAGACCAAGAAGTTACCCCAAGATGTTACTTAGCTCTGTAACTACTTAGCAGTGGACCCAAAATAGTTGGAACAATGCAACTCTAAAGTAGAAGAGAAAGTGACCAAAATCAGAGACTACATCAAATGTAGGCAATACTTAATTAACACAACGATCCAAAAAATAAAAACACTCTAATGAATGGTATCTAGTCAAGATAATGTAGCCAGTTCAAACATCAGTTTTAATTAGTAGGTCTAATTATATCAAGTCTGGATAAAATAGGTTATCCTATTATATGCCACAGCTGTTTTTACTCTTAAGAACATCCCCTAGTAATTGATGTTATGCTCTGTGGTTTACAGTTCACTCTTACATCCCTCACACTGGTAATTTCATGGCTCTGTTAAAATTCCTAAGGACTGCTGTGCTCTGACATGAACAGAAACTGTGACATTGATTTCTCTGAAAGGTTGTGCAGGTCTTTACTTCTCAAAGAATTATTACTCATAGTCACAAAAGAGTTTGATTTTAATTGTTTTTTTTCTAATAAGTCAACAACATGGTGCTGTATGTCACATACTCAATGACTCTTCTGTTCATTTTAGGTATGGAGGATTACTCTGTATTTATATTTTCTTTTAAACAGATTCATTAAACACCTGAAATGGATTATGACCAGGCTAATGGATCAAGTCCTGGAAAGAAACTATACTCTGAAATGTAGAGATGAGAATAAGGACAAGAGAACAAGAAGAAGAGTTGTCATCAGACCTTGTCAGTTGTGACTTCTCTTCATGGTCTTTGCCTCTTGTGTGTGCACTTACTGCAGTGATTCATGCACCATGCTGGGCTTCCATGGGTAATTCTGGGAATGGACTATATGAAAAAATAAGATAACATTATAACAGAAAATCAAGATATTACCCAGATTTGATAAACTTTTGGATGAATACCATGTCACCCAAATATAGCTTAAGCCAGTTTTACAATCACACGTTGAAAATTCTACCAGCCAGTAGTTCAAAGGCAGTGCTTTTCTCAGGGGAAAATATGCAGGAGTGACTGGAGGAGGTTCTGTTCAGGGAGTATAATGGCAAGAACCGTGCTAGCAAGATATTTTATTTAAAATTAGAGTTTTGAAATCGATCAGAGAGTGAATTTTGTATGTCAGATGGATGCATTATTTAACACAGGATCCTTCACAGATTGTTTAAGCTCACGCTCCTATGTACAGATGTGAAAGCAATACAATAAAGACTACCTTTTCCATGAAAAATTAAGCAGTTGTGTTGGAGTTGTTCTTCTTCAGAAAATAATTGAAATATGCTTTCAAAGAAATTCCAGTTCTCCTGCAAGTAGTTCCAGATTGCTGACATGGCCAGCAGGTAGGAAATCCTTCTCATGAACAGCTACTTAAAAAATCAGACCTGAACTGAAACATCAGGCACTCTGTGTGGGGAGGGGGAGTAACCCACATGTTATTAGGGCAGGCAATGGACTGGTTTTGTTTTATTGTCATTATGCTTTTTAGAAAAGTCTGATTTTTGTAACTGTACAATTTTTAAACCAAGTTGATGTATGGAGAACATTTTGGATAAAGCAGAAGTGGAAACAATTCTGCTGACACTCTCTGCATGATGCCTGTCCTCTGCAGTGTGTGTCTGCCATCTGCTCCCAGTGTGGGCTCCCTGCTGCAGACAGATGGTGTCAGGAGTCTCTTTTCAGCCAGGATGAGGGAACAAGAGGGTGATGGTTTAGCTCCCCCATGGAACAATTACAAACTTGTGTATCCTGATACTCCCAGTGTGTTGCATTCAAATAGCATATTTTAGCTCCTAGGCAGTAGAAATTAGCTCCCAGCTCCCAAAATTCTGTGCTCTAAATGCAATTTTCAGGTGCTCCTGCAAGAGGGGAAGCACTGACTCCGAACCAAGTAGTGTTTCTCCAAGAGAGCTTTCATCAGGTGTGGTTCAGGACCTTTGAACACTGACAAGTGTTTTGTTCCACACAATCCCTGGACAGCAATTCAGGAGTGAAGTCACTTAGAGCACAATATTCTAACACATAAAGATAAATTTAGGGAAGACAAGTCCCCACTCAGGTACCTATAGAAAGAATAACCAAGTTTAAAAACTTGTCAAGCCTGTGTTCAAGTGCTCATTTGGTACTAATACAGTAAAGGCTAAATTTTGCTACTGCAGGGGGCATTCCTGCTGCCTCTATAATTATTAATTCAGTATGGCTTCAGTAGATTTTCGGGGTCCCACATATAACTTTTTAAGAACATGGTTCAGTTTGTCACTATTGGTACTTTCTGCAGTATCTAGGAGTTTATAATAAATTCTCTGCACTGGGTTTGTGCCACACAGTGCACAATAAAACAGTACAAATTCCCTAGAGTCGGTCACTTTGGAGATTCGGAATCTTAGATCAAGATTTCTGATTTCTCAGAACAGCTCAGCTTCATGCATTCAAAGGATGGGAGAGTGTTACAGGCTCTGACTACCATGATAACACAATCCCTGGCGTTTTAGCAAGGCTTCTTTGACAACAAAAAGAGATGGATATAAAGAGAGCCACATTTTTCTCATTCTAAAAGATTTTTTTAGAAAACATTTGATCACAACAGCTTCTTTGAGGGTAGCCAGTGAATTCAGTTTCTATACACAAGGCACTCATTCGACAAAAGCACTTTGTACCCAGATTAATTTTAGGACTTTTAACTGCAAAGATGTAGAAAGGATGAAAAGCCCTTTTTGCTTTGATTAGCAGGCAGCCTCAGTCAGCACATTTGTATCTTCTGATCCTGAACTTACAGTCTGTCAGTTGGCATTGCAAGAACTTGTTCCTGTTAAGAAAAAATTATTTCTCCATTTCCAGCCCACTGAACTGTTCAGTGCCAGCAGGACCCTCCTGTCTCCCTCACACACAGTGGTTTCCATTAACCTGCAATATGAAGCCCCAAGCCTGTTACTGTGGCAGAAGCCAGCAGTTGCTGTGTGGTTTCATAGTGTTTCCAAGAGAAAAATCAAAATAATTTTCAATGGGTACTACAAAGTACTGTTAAACAGAATACTTACTTTTATTAACACTTTAAAAAAGATGTGTAAAGACAACCAAAATACTGTATCAAAATTTACAATCTGTACATTATAAACATACATCTTCCACTCACTCAGAGAACAGCAGTACATCCAACATGATTTTAGCAGTCCAGACAGCATCCTGTAACATTCAGCTGCCTCTGGAATATTTAGCAAATTCCTAGACTCAGTCATGGTAAAGTGCAGCTACAGAATATATCCCTAAAGGGGGCATTTGACATGCAAAGCTTAGTTAGGAGAAGGCAAGACAAGGGCTCATCATGGATGTGCATGGCTGGAGTGCCACAGGCTGATGGGAATATCACAGCAGATTTGGCTCAAACTACCTCCCATTCAAGCAGCTCAAAGAGGAGAGGATAAATAAGATTTTTTTATCCATGGCTCTGGCTAGAGCTTGGCTAGAGAGAAGAACCATGCAGATAGTTAAGAAAAATACCACATTCTAATTACAACCATATTCTCCCCAGTTTTTCCACCTTGCTCTCTATTCCTTCACATGTTATATCTGATTCCCTGCTCTCAGAATCAACAAACAGCCCTTCCTTCATCTCTCCTTTCTTTAATTTGTCCACGCTCTTGAATTTGTCCACATCCCTACTGTAAAGATTGTGCAGGCACTGAAATTTCAGCAGAGGAGTAGAACTCGCTGGAAAGAAAATGAATGTTGTGGTTTTGAAGAAACAGAGTATTTGAGAGGTTAGTTTAGAGATTTTAGTTTGCATAGATCCTTGGGTCAGTATTGTCAGTGCTTCCTAGCAGAAGAGATTTCAAAGAGGTTGCTGAACTAACCCTGAGCTAACTGTGAGGTAAAGATTTCCCAGTTTGTAGCATTTTGAGCATTCCTAGCTTTTTTCATCCCTTTTTGTTGTTCTGTCTCAGTCTGTATTTGGATAGGAAGCCAGTGCTTCTGATCTGACAATTGCCTATGCACAATTTTAAGTTCTCTTCATGTTCACAGAGCAGAAAGAAAAGAATAACAGAGACAATTGGTTTGCTGTTGCAGTCAGCAGGATGAATATTTGGCCCACATATGACTGAGACCAGCAGCATAGACATGATAGTGCTTTGAAATGTGCTTTTGTTTGATTGCCTGGTTACTCATAACTCCGTACCAGAAGGCCACATAAACTACACACAGCAGTGATATCACTGTCAAGTATAAAATTGGTGCTTGTAAACATTTATGCTGCCAGCTGCATTTAAGAAATTAAATACCAATCCAGGTATATGAATTTAAAGTTCTCATTTGAGACAAAGCAAAAACCTTCAAAGATTGCTTGAGGATTTCTGTGCAATAAACTCAATATTTTTATCCATTTGGATTTTTGCAACAATGTTGGAAAAATCCTTCATAGTTTTTAACTTTCAATTCCTTTCTTGTCATTACTTCCTTTTTTTTCCCCCAATCTTTTTGAAGGATTCTGTAAAAAATCATAGAAGATATGTTTCTATCCCTTAAGGCAGTACTGATTATTAGTGAAGAAAAGAGCAACTTCTAGATTCTTGTGGAAAATCTTATAATATCAGAACATTTTCTAGGACTGATGATTCTTTTTTATGCTACTCACCCTAGTGCTTCCAATCAGTCCATACAAACAGGTGAAGCCTGTAACTTTGAGCTTTGAAAGTCCAAAATCATCAGACCAAATTTGGTGGCAGTTACCACTGGCACCATGAAACAAGCAATCAGATTTGATCTGTCAGTGCTTCAGATGTTGCAGGTTGAGCAGCTTTCAGTTTGCTCTTCGATGACTCGATGATGGAATTTTATACTCACAAGATCTTGGTGGTTCCTGGTCTCCTTTAATGGTGGTCACAGTGTCCAGATGCTCTTTTCATCTTTGAAACTTGATGTTGCTTAACTCTTTTACTACTTAAGTAGAAATACAGTTGGGTCTTTAAATAGCATTTTAAAACTCTATCATTCACCCAGTTTAAGCATTGCTTAGAAACTTAAATGTGACTCTTTTGCAACAAACATGAAAACACCGATTCATAAAGCAGCAAGAAGACAGGAAAGCAGAGAGGACACCCTCCCCTCTTCTTTATGACACCTGTGAAATAATGAAAACAGAGCATTAGATGTACACCCATCAGATTAACCACCATTAAAATTACCAAAATCATAGATTTGATGAGCTCTGTAAACAGACAACAGTGATTGGTGGATGCTGAATGTTTCAAGGTTGGGAGACAGGATCCAGACTTCCTGCTGCTATTTATCCTCAGAGCTAATGCAGCTTTCCTCCCAGCGTTTGTATCCCTTGTGTCTCATAGGGTTGTTCAACAGGACAAAGATTTAGTTGACTGTAGGTTAGTAAGAAGCATCACAATTTTTCACTGATGGTCTGTGAAGCAGCCATGGCACCAGAACCTTCCACACCCTGTAGCCAGGTCAGTGTCATACAACCAGCCCAGTCCACATCTGGTGATTACTGCACTGAGAGCAGGAGTCATGCAAAAGCTTGGCTTGCTGCATGGTCCAGGCAGCCACTGGCAGCTGCAGCCATTCCATGGCAGGCCCATGCAAAGCATGCCTCATGCAGCTGGGGATCACACTGCAATTTGTTTCCTGGCCATCTAAAGGAGGCTGGAGCACTTCTGATATCTGACTTGACTCTGGCATCTCATTCTTCACTGGGATCATTTAACTGATGCAATGTGCATTTTTTTTTTTTTAAGAGCAAGAGGAAGCACATGGCAGAAAACTGGGAACAGAAATCCTTCACAAACTCCCCCAACTTCCCATCCTGGCTGCAACTCCTTCAATCCAGGACCATCAAGGCAGTCAGATCCTGGTAATCATCGACAAGCATTAAATTCTTCACAATGCAATTACATCAAGCATCCTTGAAACTGTGCAGGCAGGATCAATGAAGTGAAAGTGGCTGTCAGTGGCTAAACCACACAATGACACTGAGAACAAGGAATGTAGGAGGGAGTGTTTTGCTCTGAGTACAGTATGGGTACAGCTGCATAGTCAGACAAGCAAGGAAAGGAAAAGTGAAAGGACTTAGTAAAAATTAACACAAAACAACCTCTGAGGAGAACTCATCTATTAAACATGAGAAGTACACAGAGCTTTGGTTTTCTGCAACAGAAAAGAGAAAGTAAGCAGGGAAGCTGCCAATCACTGAACTGGGCTGAACTGGGAGTTCTAGAAGTCCATTTTT